TATCTCTCTCCCCCCCCCGAAAGCGCCCGGCCACAGAGACTGGCGAAACAACCTTCAGAACACGGCCAAAGAGCCCAAAAAACCCACAACAAGCATTAGATCCCGGCCGTGAAAGCCTTCGTGAATACATTTATAGCACAAAATTATTAATTATTTTTAAACCCAGCAGTAGCTTGAGGACCAGGGTGGGTGGAGGTGGTGCTTACCCCATAATTTCAGGGTGAGCCACTCTCCCCACGATTTGTGAGCCAACCTTGTTCAGATTAAAAAACGTTTTATGAGGTGACAGTATATCAGTCAGTATCTCATAGGAACAAAGAAGTTTTCATTTACAAGTGCCCTTCTAGACATGCAGAACCAAGAGAACAGTCTTGTAAAATACAAAGAGCAGCTTGCCAATGGAGAGGAGAGGACTTAACTCTTTTGTCTTCTATTATAATCTTGACCAAAAAAAGAGAAGAATCTCATCTACACCTGTGACTAGACTGGCAAGCTGAATTGGAATAATTTGGCATGGCTGCAGTTTGATTTGCAGCCTACATATCTACCGTTTCAGTTTGCAGTTAGTGATCACAGCGGACCTGTGGATTGATTTGGGGCCATTGTCCACACATGCGTATTGTGTGAATCACATTTTAACCCACAGCCTCCCTTCCTTCCTTTCCCTCCTCTGCCAATCCATTTATGGTCCATTGCCAAGCCACTCGGTTTCCAAAGGGTTGCACAGGATTAGGGAAAAGGCAGGAGGTTTCCAATGTTTTTCATGATGTACACAGAAACACACATATGGCAGAAATGTATGTAATCTTCTATATGTTTGGCAAGGTTGTTTCTATTTTGTAGAAATTTTAAAAATATTTTTTTCTGTGCTGAGGTGATCTAGTGCTAAATCAGTATATCCGTGTATCAATACAATGACTCAGTGCTAGACTTTAATTTTTTTTTAAATCAGGGGCATTCAGGGGACAGATCACAGAAGAGGGTGTTCCTGCAGTCCCTAACCATCACACCCCAACGGCCTACATTGCCACAACACCACCCCCACCCCCACAGGCATGCCTCTGTCCTTTTGCAGAACAAAACAGTGACCGCACATGGAAAAGCCCATCCAAACTATTCTAGCTTGAAAAAACGATGTGCCGGGAGCTAAAAAGGGCCGGACTGATTCGAACTGGCCTTTGCACTGTGTGATCAATCAAAAATAATTTAAATTCATCTGTTATATCACTGGAGCAAATCCTGTGGTATTTGATGTGTGCTGTAATGGAAGGAAGGTTGAATCTGAATGTAACTAATGAAAACAATTAACTAGGTGGCATTGCAGAGCTGCGTTTGACCTGCATTTTCCCCACCTTTTCTTCTTCAAGGTGCTCTCAGGACAATTATAGGTTTTGACATCAAGGAACTTGAAAAAGTCAATCCACCTTGGTTCTCATGCCCTAGAGTTATAGGGGTTTAAAAGCTTATTCAAAGCCATTAACCCAACTTCTTTCACTACAGTTGGAGGGCGTGTGGATTTTGATGACTTTGTGGAGATGATGACACCCAAGCTGTTGGCAGAGACGGCGGGCATGATAGGACTTCAGGAGATGAGGGATGCCTTCAAGGAGGTACGATGGGATGGGACAGGCCTAGGAATCTTGTTCCCCAATATTGGGCCATCTTGAATTCCCTGTTAGAAGAAAGGCAGAGAATTACAACCAGTCAGCCAATCTTGCTACAAATTACCTTCTTCTCCTTTAACAAAACAAAATAAAACAAAAACCTTTTGTTCCCACAATCTTGTCAACTAGGTTCTCATTCACAATAGTAGCAAGCAATCTTTGGACCATGTTTGGTAGGGGGGAAATGACCTCTGGTGGACCCTATTTGATGTCCTTACCTGACAGTGAAATTTTAATGTCTTACAATCCTTTCCTAACATAGTCTCACTCTAGGGCATTCTGGGAAATTAAAATGGAGGCTTGCAGCCCCAGCTGCTTAGCGCAGAGGGCCTGAAATAATTGTCAGTGGTGGTGGTGCAACCTAGTGTAACTCTGGTGCTAATACTGGACCTGCCTAAGTCACAGCCTTTCTCTCTCACTTTTTGATCCATGAAAACGTATGAACTTCTTTGATCAGATCAAGGATTCACCTGGTCCACCATTCTGGCTGCCTCAGTTAATTAACTTTGTTCCTTTTGTCTAGTTGCGGTTGGTAGCTACCTAAGCCAGGGTATTGCAGCTTCCCTGACCCGACCATTGGTTGGAGTTGCAGATTAACATCTGGAGGTTACAAATTGCCTACTCCGATCAAAGTAAATGCCCACAATCTTGCAACAGAGAATTTAACAGAAGTTAAATAAATTACGTTTAATTTTAAGTATTTAAACTGTGTTGTGTAAAGCAGGTCTTTTCTGGTATCCAATGAAGTTGACTACAGTCTGTGAAAAGTCTGCACAAAATAAAATGTGTTAATCTGTAAGGCATTACAATAATGATTATTTTTTGCAACTGACTAATAACATACTTCCCTTTTAGTCCCATTTCGCCTCGATATAATATGTCAACATATGCACACAAGCAAAGAGACATGACCTTGGAAATGCACAAATGCACAATTTCCCATGCATAATTTGTATTGTAGTACATTGATCATGCACAGTCTCCTCAAGGACAAATCCACCCACTAGTCTCCCTCTTCCTCTGTTTCTTTGTTTTTCCTCTGGTCTGACTCCTTCATTTCTTCTCATCATGGATCTTGGCAGTTCTCAGAGAGGTATTTATAGTTACTTCATTTGCCCACAATTGAAGCATTACTGAGTCTCATAACTATTGCTGGGTTTATGAAGAATAAATTCACTCCTTTTAGAGTGAAACTCTAACTTTGTAGTTTCTTTTGTAGTTACTGTGGTGTGGTAGCACTAAAAGGTGACAGAAGATTGCTTGGTTCAAGTGCCGGTTTGTCTTGGACCTCCCCTAAGGCACAACAAAGTGGACAGGAGGGACAGTGTGCTTTGTATCACAGGCTAGTCACTTGTACCATTCAGATTTTAAAAAGTAACTGAAGAACAACCTATTCTTTTGACAAATGACAACGTACATAGTTACTTTAAAATTGTAGCTGTCACTGATGATAGCTAACTACTTTCAGAGGGAGGGTTTGGAATTGGAACTACTGTATAAAGGTCGCTCTTTTTTTAAAAAAGCAAATTGCTGTATTCTGCTCAATGTAACTATATGCTGCTCTTTCCTTCCAGTTTGACACAAACGGGGACGGGGAAATCACTTTGGATGAACTGCACCAGGCCATGCAGAAGTTGATGGGTGAGCGCTTGACCTCCAGGGAGATTTCTGATGTGGTGAAAGAAGCCGATGTCAACGGAGATGGAACAGTGGATTTTGAAGGTGAGAGGTGATTGGAAGAATGTAGGATTGTTGGCTGGAGATTATAAATTTAGGAGGATATAAGGTGAAGGGTTAAGGGACTGAATGTCTAGGGAGAGAGGATTTAGGAGCACAGAGTGTTAAGAGGCAGGTTTAAATAGGCTTGGATAATAGGATAAAGAGCTATTAGACCACTTCAGTGACAAAGAGATAGCTCAGGACTGTAGGAAGTTATTCCTTCCACCCTCCTGAGGATTCAAGGGCTAAGGTCCTATAGTAGGGCAGTGAGGATTTTGTATCAGTCCCTTCTTGTTTCAATATTTATCAAATTTATTCCTCCTGAATCCAGGAACAAAGTAGAAGCCAGTTCATTATTAGCACTGGCCCCACTCAAATGTCGCTACAAAAAAAGCATATACTATATTAGAGAAATGGACATGCTGAAATGGGTTGACTAATGCAATGCATGCGAAACAATATTATATTAAGGAAATTACTTGCAGAAATGGGTATATGAAGGGAAATGCACCAAAAAGCCATACACATTTTCAAGCTATTTTTTAAAGAAATGGCGCAAACTGCTTACAAAAATAAAACAGGACTGCATTCAAATTAAATTAGTTTTTATCCCAGAGCTATAATTGCACTTAATAATGAGCTTAAAGACCACCAGTAGATTGTGTCTGTTATAGTATGATTTATGTAATTTTTTGCTTTATTTTGTCGTTTATTCTATACTGGAAGCCGCCTAGAGTGGTCTATTAGGCCAGTTAGGCCTAAATAAATAAATAAATAAATAAATAAATAAATAAATAAATAAATAAATAAATAAATAATCAATCAATCAATCAATCAATCAATCAATCAATCAATCAATCAATCAATCAATCAATTAATAAAAATGAGCAGAAACAGGAAACTGAAACTGATAAATTCTTCTATCCCTAGCAGTTGGTAAAAAACCCACAAACTTTTAGGACTTTAATTATAACACCGTTATATGTTAAAAATGTTAGAGATTTTAAAAAGGGATATATAAGACCTCAAAGTTTATCTCAAGGATCACAGCCTTCCTGTGTTTATAGCTGGGCAAATCCTTGTTCTATTGGTTATATATTGTATTTTCAATGGCCCTCAAACTAGAGTGAGTGCCCATCATCCTCAACTGTGCGGCCTTGTTTCTGATAGTGGATTAAAAAGAAATTGTATAGCTCTAGTTAAGTAGCCCGGTTCTGGTTTAGGCAAAAGTTCACTTTGAGGAAAGGATACAACGGAATGGCAGAGTTTGGAGGGGGGTTTTTTTTGCCTACAGTTCCCAGAATCCTTTAGCCAGCATGATGGCTGTGTTGGCTGAAGGATTCTGTGCTATGAATGGGGAACAGGTTGTTATTTGACTTACTGTTACTGCCAAGTAGGGGCTGAGAGACTTGAGAGATTTTCTGTCTCTGTTACCAAGATATCTGCTTTAATTATTACATACATTTTCAGTTGGGTAAATTTCAATTGAGCACCATATGGTGCTAGCCTTAGGCAGCCAAATATTTAGGGAATATTTTGGATCCAAATTGCTCACGACAGAGAACTTTGCACAATATGTGAGAGGCTGTTAATAGGTTACCTGGTCCAGACAACTCATAGTTGCCTTTGAGGTTGTTCCCAATTTGGATGAAAGCCTGTTGCTTAATTTACTCCTGTGTGAGGTTGATGACATGGTTGTGCCATTGTCTGGTTATCATTTACCTGGTGAGCCTGTAAATATCAACCAGAGCAAGGTGAGAGCAACAGCTTCTTGCATAGGTTGTCTATGGAGCAAATGTGGATAATGTGCATAAAGGTATTCCAACAGTGATGCCTGTCCCATTGCGAGTGGAGGTGTGTAAACTGGTGTGAAACTTAACCATACAGGCAGCTCGGGTAAGCCAGGGGGTGTCAATTCCTGCTTTTTAATTATTGTTTCCTAGACAAAGAATCATGGGTTCCTGTTCCTTGATGCTTCCAATAGCTGCTATTTACAAGTTGCAGTTCCTGTTATCTTTGAAACATTTATTGTTGTGGTTATTAGTAGCAGCAGCAGGAGTAGTCACTGACATCATCATCATCATCATCATCATCATCATCATTGTGGCAAAAGTAAATTTCTAGCCACAATTGGTTTTTTTTTCACTGTTTCATTTTGTAACTCCAATGCCTGTTGCCTCCAGCCAATGTGGCAAATGACTAATGGGATTTGCGGTCCCATACTCAGGGATGTTGGCCAAGTCTTTGGGTCTGAGTCCCAAGTTCAAGTCTTTGGTACAGAAAGTCCAAGTCTGACTCTTTGATGCTGAGTCCTAAATCCCAAGTCCCTATTAAAAACAAGCTTGTTACCCCAGCAAAAAGGGAGGGGTGGATGGATTCACAGTTGCAAGTCGGATCCAAGTAATTAAAACAAACAAACAAACAAACAAACTACAAGTTGAGTCCAAGTCAAGTAGCCGGTGTGATTTAAGTCCATCTTGACAGTAAGTCCTCGATTCCCCATCCCTGCAAGTTCATCTTGAAGGCGCCATATTCACAAAGGCTGTTCTTGGCCCTGATAGCTGGACGTCGTGCCTTTGGGTCTTTCCTGTCTTCTTGCATCACCAAAATACAACTGAATACTTAAACCAGTGTAGGTGCAATGGCATAACTTGAAGCAGAGAATATATGCAAATTAATGAGTCTCCAGCTGAATTCTTAGTTATGTGCCAGTTGTGTGAGCACATAGCTAAGAACCCAATCAAGGATTAACTAATAAACAGCTATTTACCATTCAGAGTTATGGCATTGTATTTATGCAACTGTTCGTGTTCATTTGGATTCTGGCCATCATATATAACACCAAATCATTTTTTCCAGATGTAGCAATTCAGCAGTGGATAAGATGTGGTTCTCCAGATGCTCCTGGACTGCAGTTTATATCAGCCTTAACAAGCATAGCTAATAGGGAGAAATGCTAGTTGTTTCAGCAACAACTACACTTTGCCCACAATTATAATATATTCTTGCTTGGAAAACTCATGGTTACCATTTATGTCAGTGGCATATCCATACTTCTGACAATCATGCACAGAAGTATTGTGCACAAAATGGTTTTTTTAAAATGTCTTATATGTTGTCCCAGCCAAATAAGTAGCTCATATATGTGCTCTTTCTGTTTTATTTATTATATTATAGCCCCTGAAGAAGGCTAAAATGCAATAGCCGAAACACGTTGGGCTTATCACTGAATAAAGTATCGATACCCATTTTACATCCGGGGACTACCATCCCTCCTTGCTTGACAGCTTCAGTGGATGTAACAGTCCTTTTTGTTCTTGTTACAGAAGTTTTGTTGCACATAATTTTGTCAACAAGATTAAATCAACTTTTTTAAAAGCAGATTCTTGAGGCTGCAAACACAGACCAAAATCCTGTGCTTAATTTTTTTTTCTGTGTCTGCACAAGAGAGATGATGTCATGGGGGGTCATTTTTCAATAAGTAATCAGTTCCTCCTTGTGTCCTGAGGCTCCCACAGCTTGAGTTCAATGAGACTGATTGTGCATGGTTTGGACATGCTGCAGGACAGAAGTAGGAACTCTTTAAATAACAAATTTTCCCCCTTACTACTGACATCATCCTTACACAGGTGCAAGTTACAGAACAGTACGTTGGCCACTGACCAGAAAATCATTCCTCTCCCACTGTCATAAGCAACCTATAAGGTAGGTCGAGATAAGAAAGGGTGACTTGCCAAATGGACTCAGCAAGGTCCATGGCTGAGCAATGTTTTGAACCATGCCTCTAGCAGCAATGTAGTCAGATAATTTCACACTAGGAATTAACAATCTTATTCCTCATAACCTCATATGTGCTTGTAAAGTATGGTGAGCCAGGCTTGATACAGCTGTCTGCTGCTCATTCTTCCGAGTGGGGCCCTAGCTGCCTGTCCCCACATCCTGCCTTGATGGTCCCACCACTTCTTGATGCTAGTCCACCAAGACTGATGCTATTTCATACATTTGCCTTGCAGAATTTGTGAGGATGATGTCACGCTGATGGAATCGTGCACACTTCTCTGCTTTTAAGGATCAGCTACCTACAGCGCTTTTTGAAAAGTACATGGAATTCAACATCAAATCCCCGTCAGAACTGGAAGATGCAATCAAATCTCAGTGTATAAAAGAGATTGGTGGGAGGGTGGGGGAGGGGCGTACTCTTGGACTGTCTCCCTAACGGGAGGGCCAGCATTCTGCTTTGAAAAGGTCAAGGCACTGTCAGGTATTTCTTTCCTCATCCATGAAATCTGTGTCACAAACAACTTGCTGACTCTTGTGGATGCATCTTAAACTTTCCCCAGAAATTCTGTCTCCATACACTCGGCAATAACGTACAATAAAGATTTCCTTGTATAGGATTGGCTCAGGATCTGTGTGACGACTTTCTTGTGGTGCAACAACTAAAGCCACCCGCTGACTTTGGCAGAGGTCAGAGAAACAGTTTGACGACTCTGAGTCCCACCCTGTGAAAGCAGCTTATCCGCTTCATAATCGCCGCCGCTCTGAAGAACAACATATGGGCAGAAATAAACGGATTAAAAAGCAAACGGGGCCATGCTGTGCAAGAGGAAGAGGAGGAGCCAGACTTTTGAGAAATGGGCTCCGCACGTATCAGAGCAGCTGGGCCTGATCGTCAATTTCAGGGAATCTAGTGTGGGTCCAGCTTGTCGTGGGGGGCAGGGCAGGATTAGGGTTTGGGAGGGAGAACCCTTGGCTTGCAGGATAACGTGACTCATGCAGAGGATTACAGCCCCAGGCCTGCTAGCTTCCACTTCATGACCCTTTAAAGATTAAAAGCCGTGGGAGTTTGAAGCAGCAGCAGCTGAGCTACCTCTTCATCTCCCTAATTGTTTTTGGCAGTGTGGCGTGGGAGGGGAGAAAGAGAAGTAGACCAGACCTCAAGGACACACCAAGGTCATTTGAGGGCATACATGTTCATTTCCGCTACAAAGTTGTCATTGCTTCTGATCCAAGCCACAAATCCCCCCTCTCTGGATGAGTACCTGGATTATCAAGACATTTGGTGGGGATGGTGAGGGAACAGGAGAATTCTTCCAAGTTTAGTTAAACATGCTTCCTGTGTAGCCTTCCACCCATCACCCACTTCAAAACTAAGGAGGTAAAGGTAAAGGTTCCCCTTGATAATTTGTCCAGTCGTGTTCGACTTTAGGGGGCGGTGCTCATCCCCGGTTCCAAACCATAGAGCCAGCGTTTGTCCGAAGACAATCTCCGTGGTTATATGGCCAGTGCGACTTAGACACGGAACACAGTTATCTTTCCACCGTGGTGGTCCCTATTTATCTACAGTGGTGCCTCGCATAACGAGCGCACCGTTTAACAACGAATCCGCATAGCGATTTTTTTAGATCACTAATGCGATCGCATTGTGATGTTTTAATGGGCAAAACATTGCATTGCGATGATCGGTAAGCGTTTCGCTTACCGATCTTCGCATTGCGATGTTTTTTAAACAGCTGATCGGCAGTTCCAAAATGGCTGCTGAGTGCCCAAAATGGCCACTGCAACCATTTTTGCGCAGTTTCCTCGCTTACCGAGGGTGCGAAAATGGTGGCGCTATGGAGGATCTTCGCTGAACGGTGAGTTTGGGCCCCATAGGAACGCATTAAACAAAGTTTAATGCGTTCCTATGGGTTTTTCCGTTCCGTTTAGCAATGTTTTCACATAGCCACGATTAATCCGGAACGGATTAGCGTCGCTATACGGGGCACCACTGTACTTGCATTTGCATGCTTTCAAACCGCTAGGGTGCTCACAAGCAACGGGTGCTCACTCCATCATGTGGATTCAACCTTATAGCTACAGATCTATAGATCTTACAGCACAGAGGCTTCTGCGGTTTAACCCGCAGCGCTACCATGTCCCTACCTAAGGAGGTAGATACAAAAAAAAAAAGGATTAACCCTGTGATCACCCTGCTAAACACACTTTCCAGATTCCCAGTTCTCTCTCTCTGGAAATTGCCAAAACCTTACAGACTGCTAGGCAACCCTTTTGTAAAATCCCATTTGCTCTGTCTAGTCCCTGTGGTAATTTTTAGCCACATTGCTGGCTTTAATCCAGTTATTCCTGACCATATGTGCAGGAGTCCAACGTGCTAATATACAAACTGCGTTAAACCCATTATATAAAGCTTCAGCTCCCCCTCCCTCCCCATTCATTCCTCCTGCCATTCCGCCACACGCTGTCCAGACAAAATCAAACCACCCACGCTAGTCAGGAGGTGTGGGGACAAATCTGAGACGGTCACACCCACTACCCCAGCAACTGCATAAGCTGGGCTCGGGAGCAGTGAGCCAAACCAGGATTGGCTGTAGATATTCTGTGGACTGAGGTGGAAGAAAAAATGCCCCCGGTCAAAGTACACCTTGTACTGAGAGCCAATCAAATTATTTTGCCACATGAAGTAGACCATCTTGCAGAGTGAATAAACAAAGAAAACAACTAACAATTTGCCACCCTTTCATAGCATCCTAGATCTGCTGCCTTGAAGCTGAGGCCTCAATCCAACAAGTGACAGGGCTGGGCCTTGGATCGGAATGAAGCGCCAAGTCCCGATGATTGACTTAACAAACCTCACTCTGCTGCACACACTTTGAGAATTAATACAGTATATGCAGTGAGCAGAAAATACTCATTTTCACAAAGGAGAGTGGATGTAAACAAAAATAAATACAGGCTAGCGGGAGAGAAGGACTCTGCACCAGACATATTCAGGTTCATGTTTGGCTCAAGAAGTTTTGTTGTATGTAATGAAGAGTAAGATGGCAACCTCCTCCAGAGGTTGGCTGGACTCCCAGTTGAATCTGAATTGAGCACGGGCAATGAGATACTGTAGCTTTCTCCACCCCACCCGTGGGCAGCAGTTTAGGGTGTGAGGTCTGTGGGGCACTCAGCTTTAGGAGACAGAGGGAGCCATGAGCATTCACAAAAAATGATCAGGAGACTGATGCTATCCCCTTGACTGAGTATCTACCCCCTGAAGTAGTAGCTCCACTCTGCCCAGTGTTGGGGCCGGCCCTGCTCAGGGCGTAGCAAAGATAAAACTAGTTGTTCTTCGCTGCCCACTAACTCTAATCCCAAATCTCTTATCAAAAAAGGTGGAAACTTCCCCTCTCTCTTTCTTCTGTTGCAGTTGTCTTGTTTTGGTCTGCCACTCCCACAACCCTCAGCAAGCATGGGGATTCAGGAGGTTGTTGTAAAATAATAATAATAATAATGAAGTTTCTACATTGTAGTATTTTAAAAGGCTTTAAAAGATAACCGACTCAAGACACCACTAAACCCCATGAGTCTTGATTTGGGGTCCTGTGGTGATCTGGCAATCTAAGGGATTGGTGGTGACACTTTTGAACATCATTATTATTATTATTATTTATTTAATTTATATCCCGCCTATCTAGTCGTGGTGGACTACTCTAGGCGGCCAACAACAGAGATAAAATACAATAACAAAAAACAGCATAATTACAACAACAATTAAAAATAGGGAAACAATAAAGGAGAGAAGAAAATCAAAAGTAATCTGGAGAGAAGGCCTGCTGAAACATCCAAGTCTTTAATAGGTTCTTAAAGGTGCCCAGCGAGGGAGCTCCGCGAATACCAGGAGGTAAGTTATTCCAAAGGCGAGGAGCCACCGCCGAGAAGGCCCTATTTCTTGTTTTCTCTTTTCGGGCCTCCCTCGGCGTTAAGCTCTTCAGCCTCACCTCCTGGCTCGCCCGTGTGACTCGAGTAGAACTTGGTGGGAAACACCATGAGGGGGGACAGAGACTCTATCGCAAAGGCCTAGTCCCACTAGTCCAGGAAAAAACAGGGAGATTGGGTAGTTTCTTCAGGATGTTTAGCTTCCCTCAAGTCTTCCTCTGGATCCGTCTGCGTAGTTCCGCGCGTAGCAGATCTCTTTCCTTTCGAATGCCATGGAGGACGCTCTGGTTCTCATGCGCACGGCGGATCAAGTAGGGGATCACTTCTTCCACAGATCCATAGGGGATGGATTTATAGATAGCATAACCTGCTTGGCCTATGTTTGGGCAAGGGATGAGGCAAGGAAAAACAAGGAGGGAGACACAGAGGGAAACAGAAGTGGTAAAAAATTTTGCAGGAAGAAGGAAAGGATAAAATGAGGGAAAGATTAAAGCATGTGACCAAAAATGGGTCCCAGACTTACCCAGTGCCAAGGACACCTGATCACACATTCCTAGCAGCTGTCCGAAGCTGACGGGTCCAGTAGCTTTGTCTAAGCCCATCTCTGCCATCCTTGAGATAAACACAAGGATAGTTCCAATAATAAGTATGTGTGCAGCATGGCAGCAAAAGTCATAAGCTGTAAGCAATGAGGGATGGGTTGAAAGTCGAGGTCAACCACAAACGCCATTTATGGAAACTTGGCCATTGCTTCCCTTCATTGGCAATAGGGGGATAATAGTACTGATGTACAAGGTCATTTTAAATAGCATATTCAGGATTTCATGACATGGCAGCAAATTATTAGTCATTTCATGTGTTATTGTCATACTGTATTTTTATGCAAGGGAAGGAGAAGTGTGCCAAAATAACTCAGCTGACTGTGAGCACCTTAACTTGGGTGGAGAGGTGGGTGACTCCATTTGCTGCTACCCCTCCAGCCGCAACAATCTACTTGATAGCACTGCCAAGAAAAATGGTATAATTATTAATTATTATTAGCAAGGTGGCGATCATTGATGGCTTCGTGCCTGCCATGGGCCAGGCAGAGGTATCTGGCTGCCAAGCCAGAGATGAGGAGTTTGATGATTAAAGCCAGCCCATGTGGCCTTGGGCAAGCTGCACATTCCCAGGGCATCCCCGGAAGAAGAGAATGGTAAACCATTTCTGAATACTCTCTGCCTGGAAAACCCTGAAAAAGGGTCGTTTTAAGTCAGAATCAACTTGATGGCTCATGATTATGGTACATCCATTGTTGTTCTTTTCTCTTTACAGTGGCAATCCTGAGCCTGGGTTACGTTGACGGATTGCATGGGGATTGGTGTATTGGTGGCTTAGGTGGCAAGGCAGTGTGACTGTTCTACTGTGTGGGGAGGGGACTTTTTCCCAAGCGAAAGTTCTCCTGAAACTTTCTCTCCCTCCTGGCTTTCAGAGAGTACCTCTTCTGTTTGGTTTGGCAGAATGTTTAAAGAGGAGGAAAGGGACAAGAGGCATGGGATTTTAGAAGTTAACCTGAATGGGATGGGTTGGGGGGGATGAAAGAGACACTTTCTTTTGTTTTTGGACTCTTTTCGTGACTTTGCGATGGACAGCCTCTGAAATACAATAGATCTAGGATTCCATAAGGAAATAATTGTATTTCATTGGGATTTCCTCATTTGAAAGATCACAGGTCCACTGAAAGCTATGAGATCCGCTGAGTCTGATAATGCTTCTCTTTCTCATCTGTACCATTTCCTGCTGAAAATGCTGATCAGGATTTGATGTGATGGTAAATGCCTGCTGCACAAGTCTGGTGGTGATTTTTGTTTCTCAGGCACTGTTGTTGTGTTGCCTGGTTTTGGAGCAGATGATTGTCTGTTGCCTTTTCTCGATTTTTTTAAAAAGTAGTTTTGAAGGTTCTGTGCAGCTTAACTTGATCCAGCACTAAAGACCCAAATAAGGAAAACTGAAATGAAAGTCCTTTTGGGTTTACTGAAGATTTGGGTCCTTTTGGGTTTATTGTAAGTCTTGGCGCATGAAAGGAACCGAAAGTGAAAGAGGACACACCTTGCTTAAAAAAAGAAAGCAAAACTGAAAGTTTTCCCTCTGCACCTTCCTAGTTGACAACTGCCAGAACCATAGGACTATTGGGAGATGCTTAAACACAGACAGAAGCTGTCACTGCCATGGCTTTGGCAGCCAAAAATACCTTTGCACAGCATGCATCACCGAGGCTTCATTGTGAGTGGCCACGATCATCTCAAACCTTCCCTGGGCTTGAAAGGCTTGGTCCAAGCCGAAATCTAGACAGCGATGGTAGCTGCAAAGCATAGAAAAGAGGGGATGAGCGACAACATGGCAGAAAGTTGGCAAAACGATAGGGTGGGAAAAGAAAAACAACGAAAGAAAAAGATAAAATGCAATGGCACTTCAAACACTAACAAATACATTTCAGTGTATTTATGCTGCATTTCTTCAGACACAAGAAGTGTAACATAGCAGAAGTCTCCCAGCAAATAATTTACGGGTGGGCTGATCCCAGTTTGTTCCTCCAGCTGGGATTTTTCTTTTCCTGGGGTTGGGATGGAGAGGATACACTTGTGCTGAGTCCCAGTCGTGGCTGCATTTAAAGTTTTATTTCCTTTATTGATGCCTATGGGAAGACCTAACTTGGGTCCTAGAGAGCATTTTAGAATAGCTTCCCAGGGAGCCTGTTTCTGAATCTGAAAACAATTACCGTAGGACATCATTCCTGCTGATGCTGAAAAATGTGTCTTATAGAGTGATTGTCATACATACTGTAGCTTGATCTTTGACTCCCTCTCGTGGCCAGTTCTGGTAATCTCACCTTTAGAAATGTGTATTTCTAAGATTTTTAGTTTAATATTTTTAATATTTTCAGACCATGGATACATGAATCAGGGGATACTGATCCCGTGGATGAGGGGGTCTTACTGTACCTAGATCATGCGGTCACTTCCCACCACAATTCACCAAAACATTATTAGCGGACTGTTGGAGACAGCTTTTTGCCTTTTCTTAAGAGTACTCAGAGTTATTCTTAGTCTGTGACACCTCTTCTCTATGGGTCTGGTGTGGTTTTGCTTACATACAGACATGGGAAGACTTCAACTGGCATGAGGAGAAAAAAACATTTTTCCTCATGCTTGGCTTTCAGGACTTGGGGCCTACCCATACTAGGTGTCTGTTCAACTGTACTTTCACCAATAATACTAGTATTTCATCCCATTGTCAACATGATGCCAGGGTGAAACTATTATCAAAAAAGTCAACGTGGGATAAACCTTTGCTTTCATGTTTTTTTGTTGTTTTTTTGTCATGCCACTGCCAGGTGATGGTGTACTTCTGTTCTTCTTTGCTCTGATTTGCTCTGGTGCAGGATCTGCTGGTGCAGACCCTGGTACCATAGTGATGTGTGCTGATCCATGTACTTTGTGAGATGTGTGTCATTTGATGATAATTCCCAATGGCCATTTTTTCTGCTCGTCCATCGCCACCCTCCCATGCCTTCATGCCTTTTGTTCAGTTTTCTTGGGTTATTAACCTTTCCTGTGTTCTGCTTTTAAATTTTTTTTTTTAAGCAATGTTATCATTTTTGCACCATAATGCAAAAATAAAAACTACTGCAAAAGCAAGAACAGGAATATTTGAAAATTGTGGATGGATTGAAAAGGAGAGAATAGAGGACAGAGTGAAGTCGGAACAGAGAAGACAGCAAAGAGAAGCAAAGAGGATGGCAATCAGTGTTAGGAGTGAGACATCACTGAGCAATTCCTAATGTGCGTGGACAGGGGATTGGGACAATCCAGTGCATTCCAGTACATCCAGTAACAAATATCTTTCCCATGTGGATGTCAGTACCAATATGATCTATCCAAATCTGAATCTGCAACAACAACAACAAAATACCAAAACAACCCAGAGCAACCAGTGCCTATGATCTCTTTCAGAGGTGCGGAACAGATCCATGGAGAGAGGTCTCACCTTTTATTGGTAGCCTCCCAGTTGGGTTGCACAGGATCGAGGTAACCTTTCTCCTTTACCAGTTTCCGTTCTTTCTCCATATAAGCCCCCCGGACTAGCTTTACTCCAAAACATACACCCAAATGCTCCATGAGAGCCAAATCCTGATTCATCCGCTCCAGAGTGTCCTGGAGAAAGAAAGGCCAACCAAGCAAACAAGCAATAATAAACAAAGTCAGAGGTAAGATGGCTGCTCATGAAAACACCAACGACTTCACTGAATTCAGAAAGTTAGAGTGGATCCTTGTTTATTTCTAGAAAATGTAGTTAGTAGAAGGAAGAGGGTTATTTAGGGAGGGAGGAGATGGCCCTCCATGTACCTTGAGATAAGCCTGATAGGTGGGCAGAAGAAAGAGGGTTATTTAGGGAGGGAGGAGATGCCCCCCCCCCATGTACCTTGAGATAAGCCTGATAGGTGTTCCAAATCCAGGGCTTTTCCTTGTTCCAAGCAGCCATCATTGCCAGGGTGACAAGTGTCAGGGCTGGATTAATGTAGGTGTATTCTGCATCCACCAGAACACGGACCTCCTTTTCCACAGCATACTGCAGAGGAAGAGGGAGACACTCCCGCATAAGTGTATTTAGTATCGCAACTCGAGATATACACTTTCCCTTCAAATGGGTTATTGTGCATTAGTATCATGACCCAGTCTGATCTAAACATCAGATGTGAAATGACCCTGGATCCTTGTACCTGTGCTACTGAATTGAGCCGATGCAGTGATTTTTGGAAATGCTGGTTCTCTTCTTGGTTCAGGCAGCTAAAGTTCAGTGGCTGGTGGTAGAAGGAGAAAAGACATATAGTGTACTTTTAAAACTAAGTATCTGGCTAAAAAATGAAATTCAAGATGCAGAAGGGACGATTGGATGGATCCATTTCCTTTCCAATGGAACCAATTACCTCAAGAGTTGGTCAGCTCTCCCACACTGGAAGCATTCAAGAGAAATTTAGACAACCACCTGGCAGATCTCCTTTGGTTTGTAATCCTGCACTGAGCACAGGGTTGGACTCAATGGCCTTATAGGCCCGTTCCAACTTCATTATTCTACAATCGTAAAAAGGCGGAAGAAATCTCACCTCTCCTTTCATGACAGCTACCACTCTCTCTATGCTCAGGTCCGACTTTCCCTCCTGCTCTTTCAGGCGCAGGGTGATTGTCTTCTGCAAAATAAAAAATAAAACCAGATCCCTCCAAATATCTTGTCTTCCTTCCCAGAACGGAAAAGCACTAGGTCTACACAACACATGCAGAATTAAGTGACAGAATGCTGAGATGCTAGAATGGTTTCATGATGCTCACTGAAAAGTACAGTCTCCACCTACATCAATGAGAAGGAAAGCTGAGCATAAGCCTGTTTTCTCTTCTCAATGTCTTTGAGCTTTTTTCTTTGAATTTTTGTTCCCTGTACTCTTTCAAGCTGATTACATCCTTAAGAGCATTCAGCATGGCCATCCCAGAATGTAGGACATGTAATAATGGGCTCAAGGTACAGGAAGCCACATTTAGGCTGAATATCAGGAAAAACATCTTAACTGTTAGAGCAGTACGATAATGGAACCAATTGCCTCAGGGGTTGGTGAGCACTCCATTGCTGAAGGCATTTAAGAGAGAAGTGGAAAACCATCTGTCAGATCAGTTTTGATTTGGATTCCTGAACTGAGCAGGGGGTTGGACTCGATGATTTTATAGGCCCCTTCCAACTCAATTATTCTGTGATTCTATTTAAACATATACATATTCTCCAGAAGATACATTTTTAAAAATCCCTTTTAAATACACACAACCTTGTTACTAAATGAAGCCATGTTTTATGGGATGCACACTAAAGTTTGTTGTGTTTTTGTACCACTAAAGTCAACAGGACTTAAATTAGTCACAATGGCTGAAATTCTCTAGTAAGTCACAACTTGAGTAGGTCCTTTGAATCAATGGAATTTACTTAGGTATTGACTCACCAAATCCCCAATGACTCCATGGGCCTACTCAAGTTGTGACTTACTACGAGATTTCAGCGATTGACTAATTATGATTAATTTAGCTTTAATGTGATGCAATATGATTTAGTATATTGTGTGTTTGTTTTTAAAAATATGGCTTTTTAATAAAGAGCCAGAATATGTAAAAAGTGATGGACTGTATCTGGGGAGACCCAAGTTCAAATCCCTACTCAGCCGTGAAGCTCAGTGGGTGTACTTGCACCACTTATGTCTCAGTCTAAGCTACCTCACATGGTTGTTGTGAAATAAAAAAGAAGGCGGGCCACACAGGCTCCTTGAGTTCCTTGGAATGTACATGGAGAAAGCAATGCAACTTCCAGGGGATTCTCCATTTGTAGAATCTTTATAATTAAAAAAAGCAAATAATTTTCAAGGCTGTTGTGGGTTTTTCGGGCTCTTTGGCCATGTTCTGAAGGTTGTTCTTCCTAACGTTTCACCAGTCTCTGTGGCTAGAGCACAGAGTGCTGTCCTCTGAAGATGCCAGCCACAGAGACTGGCGAAACGTTAGGAAGAACAACCTTCAGAACACGGCCAAAGAGCCCGAAAAACCCACAACCATTAGATCCCGGCCGTGAAAGCCTTCACGAATACAGTTTTCAAGGCCTCAAGTTCTCTATCAAATCACAATATCTAAAAGGACAGAGGATGGTTTCAGAACCACTGGAAACCTCCCTGCCCAGATCTATACTAATTTATTTGAAGCTACGTGCCCCACAAAGCTCCAGCAGCCCCCCCACCCTGTGCCATCCTAACAATACTTACACAGAGTTCAGCAGCCATCATTGCTGTTATCCTCAGTTGCATCATGGGGTTAGTGGAAACCCCCATGGACAGATCCAGGCAAGTAAGCATCGAACTGGTATTCTTGTCATACCATGCTTCCCTGGTCAGGACACAAAGCAGGGGTTCCCATTGTTCCCCAATCTTTTCCATGGACTGCCCCCTTCACAAGAAAATGCTCATCATGTTTGAATGGAGTAAAATACCCTCCAGCTTTCTTGATACACTCCCCATCTCCATGTTCAACTGTGCATACTGCTCTCCACCTTTCCCGTTTCTTGATCTAGGCGCTCGCTCTGCTGTTGGTTCCCTTGAAGATAGTGGTGGACAGCCATTTCTCAGGCGCCATATTCCCTTGGCGGTTATTCTGTCAAGGCCAGGGCTGCATGCTATGCAGAGCTTCGAAAAGTTTTCAACTACAACTCCCTGAACCCTAGTAGGTAGACACCGCTCTCTCTCTCTCTCGCTCTCTCTCTCTCTTTCTCTCTCCTGGATTTATAAATAAACTGAATACACTACAGCTACAGGCAATGATGGGCCTCTCAATTTTAAAAAACAAACAAACCAATGCAAAATTTCTGTTAGAATAATAGTATCGCAACGTGTTTTTTTTAAAGCAATGATATGTAAACTCTTTGAACTTGGCATAGCTTAGTGACCTCAGAATGTCTGATTCTGGTCTTGCTTCATTTCACATGGTTCCCCAAGCATTGTGTAAAAATAATGAGATGCTACTCTTAACACCTGACATCTGCATTACCACTTCCTGAAACTAAAGCCCAGGTGGGAAGACATCTGTGTGCATATGGTGGGGAAAGACCAGAAGAGGATGTATGAGTCATCTTCCCCTGTTGAACACACACATTTGGGCAAATGTTTGAGCTGTCCCATTACGAACAAAGAGACCTTTGCCATTGCACTATTACCAAAGTGCTAGAAACAGTAACCAATAAAGAAAGGACGTGAAATTCACTCCTACTTATCACTAAGCTGTGCAGCTGCACAAAGCAATGGTTCGAAGATTGACATGGGGCGGGCGGAGTGGGAAACAAGTTTGGAATCATAGTTTTCTCCATCCCAGCTTTCCCTCAATGGGCAACCCGCAGATGGGATGGACTACAGCATAAATCATCTTCTCTTATAAATTATAATTATAATCCAACACATCTAGAGGGTGGCAATTTCAGGAAGACAATCCTAGCTCTATCCATTCACTGTGTCCACTTTTTGCTAACACACCATGTCTCTCGTGGTCTTATGAACAGGGATGTTGGGAAGTCTTTGTGTCTGAGTTCCAGGTCCTACTCAGAGTCTTTGGTACCAAACCTGAGTCAGAGTCCCCATTAAAAACAAGCTCCCCCCCCGAGGAAAAAAAGGGAGGGGTGGCTGGGTTCCGATAAGCTCCCCTCCCCCGAGGAAAAAAGGGAGGGGTGGCTGGGTTCCAAGTTGCAAGTCAAGTTCAAGTCATTGAAAAAAAAACCCAAACAAACAACACCCCAAATCAAGTCGAAGTTGAGCCACTGGTATAACTTAAGTCCAACTTGACAGAGAGTCCCACGATTACAGTTCCCATCCCTGCTTATGAAATCTGAAGTTAAGTGAATTACCACTGAAGAGTCGAAGGATTTTCTTCACCCTTCCTTCTAGAACAGACCCAGATCTAGACTCATGATTGAGAATAATGCTGTATTCCTGCCCACTTCATAATTCAATCTCAGAACCTCCAGTTTCAGGCAGTTAGCCTCCACTTCCTTTATAGCCAAACACCAGCCCCGCTCTTTCGACTCATGCGATTGATACTCACCCTTTCCTGGCTTCACCCACATCTTCTTCTATTGGGACTGCAAGGAGAGGGCGGACCCCCAAACCTTGGAGCCGTTGCAAAGTGTCCTTGATCTCCTTGTGGGTCTCGCCAGCCACAAACTGTCCATACAGCGTAAGACGGAGTGCTGAACTCCACAGCCGCCGGCCCAGAACTCGTCGGGTGCCCGAAAGGATCTTGGAAGGATAGAGAAAGGTGGGCTATGGAGCCGAATCCCAGAAAGTGGGCCTTGCTGTTAAGTCTGTTACAACAACCACACATTGTATGATCTTACAGGCTAACAAGCTGGTTGTGGCATAAGCTTTGATGGGCTCGAGGGAAATTATTTCTTCTCAGATCAAGTTCTCTGAAGATGCTGGCCAGAGAGACTGGCAAAATGTTAGGAAGAAAAACCCTCAGAACATGGCCAAACAGCCTGAAAAACCTACAACAACCTTATTTCTTCTCATATTTGCCAATTTAAGAGATATTTCATAGGTCTGGTGCAGGGGACTGTAATCTATAAAACCATATGCCACAAATTATAACCAGTTCTCTAGTTTTTGAGGCAATAGGAGAGTCCTTTTTGTACACGGTTAAGACACTGATGTGCCACAGCTTGGCCCAAGAACCACAAGGATTCAGGGCATCCCTTAGCAGAAGGACTAGGAAGTCTGAAATGCATCAGAGCAGAGTTACCACATTTAAAATAAAGTGAAATGCCTTATTACCATCTAAAGAGGAATCCCCAGAGAACCATTAAATACAGACTCTGAAATTATGTATCTAACTACACTTCTGTTATTCCCCAACAGAACCTTTCCATGTCACCCTATCAGCTGCAGGTGGTGACTGAGAAGGAACTAGTTAAATGGGTTAAAGGGAGACCTTGGAAAAGTTACTTTTTTGGATCCCAGTATTCAGAAACTAATACAGCTATTGACTGGGGAAATCTATGAGTTTAATAATAATAATAATAATAATAATAATAATAATAATAATAATAATAATAATAATAATAATTAATAATAATAATAATAATGTGCTGTCAAGTGGATTCGGATTTATGGTAACCCTTTTCAGGATTTTTCCAGGGAGAGAGTACTCAGAAGTGGTTCACCCTTCTCTCCTTCCGGGGGCACCCAGGGATTTTGCAGCTTACCCAAGGCTATGCAGGCTGGTTCTTTTCCCAGGAAGCTCAGTGGGGAATCGAGCTCCTGACCTCTGGCTGTGCAGCCAGGCACCTAAACTACAAAACTATTGAGGAGCTGTAGTCTAATAATAATAATTAGCTCCTCCACGCGCTGGTAATCAGCCAGGTTGGTCTCACCAGGGGTGCTTTCTGAACCAGCCATGGGGAAGAACAGAGGAAGAAGACCAGCAGTCCCCGCGTGAGCTCCCAGTTGCTCTTCAGGCGGAAAACTTTCCCATCATCCAAACGCAGCGAAAGATGGGCAGGCATGGGGTTCTTTGCCGCAGCCAGGTGGGAGGGTTTCCAAGAAGCATGCTGGGGCCCCCAGGAGGCTAAGACCCTAGAGCGCAACAAGCGAACCCCACATTTCAGCATGCTGCTAGCTTTGTCGAAAGGTCACAGACCATCACTTCTGAAAGGCAACATCTGGTGATTATCCCACAACGATTGGGCATCAAACAGCAAACAGTCGGAGGCTGGGATTAGGGAGCGACACCAGCCCAACAAGGAGCTGTCTCAGCAGGTTTGGGGCTAAGATGGGACAGAGGCTCAACAGAGTAGAAAAACTGCTGAGGAGGAAAAGTAACTTATTAACATCAGGTCTCCTGGTTCATCTTACAGCTCTATCCCATATGATTCCATTTCTATTTATTTATTATTTTTTATTTGATTTATTTGATTTGTAACCCACCCATCTGGTCTTTAACATCAGGTCTCCTGGTTCATCTTACAGCTCTATCCCATCTGATTCCATTTCTTCACAGAATGATCATTGTCTCTTGATTCCTACACACTTTAGGGTCTCCCCCAGAGCATGTAAATAACTTGCAGCTAGTTGCTTTAACAAGGAATGTGACCAGTAGTTACAAAGGGATACGAAAAGTAATATAGCATGTAGCTACAAAGTTCCTCTTCATGGATTGCTGCCTTGTCGTGGCGAAGGGGCTTGAGTAACTCAGAGAAACTATGGGCTATGCCGTGCAGGGACACCCAAGACGGACAGGACATAGTGGAGAGTTCCGACTAAACGCAACAAAGTTACTCTTTGATGTAATCATTCTAGTTACTTTCAGAATTCCCATTAATGGGCATTGAAAGAGGCATTTTGACAGGAATGATTCAATATTATGCTATCAATCAGAAGTAGCAAAGGAAGTTGTCGTGGGTTTTGCCTTCTGCTTTGGCCAAGTAGTATCATGGAGCAAGAGAGGTGACTAGCTATTTCTGTATAAACACTTGGTACCACTTCTGAAAAATAAGTGGGTTCTTTTCTCCTATAGCCAGCTAACATTATACTTCTTCAAAATTCCCTTAAGCACAAACAATGCCAGTTGCGAGTCTTAAGTCTGACCTAAAACTTAGGAAACCTAGAAGGCTAGATTTGGTACTCTGTTCTGCAGGAATGCTGTGGTTCTTCCCACACGTTCTGAATTGCCTTCGTTCCCAGTGGTTCTGCCTACAGTGTCTTCTTGTTATGTGCTGCCAAATTAGAAACCAGTTCCACTCTCCAGTGGTTGACAGGGGATTCGAACCCAGGCCTTCTGAGTCCTAGTCCATCACTCCATCCACTACACCATGCTGGTACCAGAGGATCTTGGTTCCCTTTAACAAAAATACGGTATGCTCTCTATAGAAAAAGCTGAAGGCAAAGGTGCACAGTACCTTTATCAGATCATTAAAAATCACAAATGTTAGCTAGCTTGAAACCTTGTACTGGTCTTCATCAGGCTGGGCACCACAGACATGGAGATGGTGGAGAAAAAACACAGAAGTTCCAAAAATCATGGCCAAGTGTGTGTGGCAGGTTCCTTTGTTAAAACCAAGTTTCAAAATGGTGGCTGCAGGCTCAAGCACCTGCCCAAACCAAATCTATACCTTGTATTTGTGATTTTTAGCAAGGAAGCACTGATCTTCAGATTAGTTCCCTTTAAACTCCCTATTTCACTTCCCCATATAGTCTAGATTCTTTATAGAATGGAATTCTTTGTATTCAGTTTGATATTGCCATTCTTTGCTTATTTTTATAGTCTCAGTGGTGGCTTCCAGTCAAAAAGAAAGCCTTTATTATCTGCCTTTAACATTTCAAAGTAAGCTTGCAGGCGGGGGCTTCCTGGTGCTACAATTGAAAGGCATTATCTGTTCCATTCTTCAGTTATTTTATGTATGTATCTATGTAAAAAGATAATAGAATAACAATAGGAAAACACTGGAAGCTTACAAAATGGAAGCCTTCATCTGGACTAGAGCCTTGAAATGTTACTTTTTAAAGATTGCACTCCCCACCTGCATGCCTGGCTAATGGATTCTGGGAGTTGTAGTCCCAAAAAATGCACCACTTCCAAGTTCTGATCTGGACCCACTATAAAATTATGCAACTGAGGCAGATCAACACCAAAACCTCATCTGGGAGCATCCGACAGTCCTGATGTCAACACAACTAAGAAAGGATGCCATCATGGCTGAGCACTAGCATACTGGGCAAGCCCTAATCTATGGTTCAGCAAAAGCAATTGCCATCAGAGAACACAATTTGCTCCCTGACCTCTCTTTTCTGTAGTCTAGCAGAAACAAAATCAGGTAGTTATTATTTTAGTCATGTATGAATGTGCGCACACAGTTCAATGTGCTGTAAGACCCCCTTGGTAACACACACAGCCATCCATTTATACTAGTTTGATCTTGATCGGGCAATAATGTATTGATGTTACAAATGCAAGAATAGGTGGTAACATTATAAACCACTTTAAAAAATTCATACGATCTGCTAACTTTCATGGATCAGGACCCTCCAATTCGTCAGGCTTGTACCGGTGTAAAGAACTTAAAGAGTTCCAAAAGTTAATGATGAGATGGATTTTGCCAGCCATTTTTCTTAGATGTAAGTTGAGAAAGATGTAGGCTCACTGGAGCTGTTGCTTTAAAATTACAGTTGAGGAAGCTGTGGATTGAATATCCCTTAAATTGATTTTTACATTTTTCAATAATGTTTTGCACTTCATTGGCTAAATTTTTTTCTCACCCTCACCCTTGCAGAACATAGTCAAGAAGCAGCAGAATTATGTATCAAGTAAATATATTATTTAAAATGGATATCAGTAAACTGTTGAAATTGGAAAGCTCTGCTAGTTTTTTTCTATGGACTGTTGGTTGCACAAGCACTTCTACCAGGTTAATTACTAGCTTTGCTCCATGCCATTCTCTTGTGGTAAAGACCCACAAATCGAGGAGTTTGTCCCCAGAACCAAAGTCCTTTCTCAATACAGTACTCAGTTCAGTTTCGCCAGTCAGGCTCCTTTTGCTTAGAAACCAAAAAGGAAACAGATGATAGAACAGAAAACACAACCGTCAAAAGGAAAACATGGTGGCCCAGAGTTAATAATATATATATTAGCCAGCAGATTTAAAGCATAGATATCTCAAAGGATAAAATGGCCTCTTCTGTAATGTCGACAACTATAAATATGGAGAATATATTTTTTAATCTATCCTCATTTTGCAGGCACTTACCCAGGTCATAAACTCCACGGTAAGAGACAGATATGATGGCAGAGCAGGGCTTGTGCAATAGTATGAGGTCCATTTCTAAAGACTTTGCCACTGTGTGCTCAAGCCCACCTCCTAGTAGCTGGTAAGCATAGATTCTTCACCTTTTACTCATAGAATGCACTTAGCAACGGTGTGATGATGCTCCTCATCCTAGTGTGAAATTAGTCTTGCTCAGTATGATAACATGTCAAGCCTTGATGTGTACACAAGCTCGTCGAAGCCAGGAGGGAAAATGTTGAATTCTTAGTGATGACAACCATGGAGAGCAGACAAAAAAAGGAAGGTCTGGTGCTTGAGAGCAGGACGGCTACTGCCCCCACCCTCTCTTTTCTACTCAGCAGTGGGGCGATGGCCAAAATCACCCAGCTCTGGGCTGCTCTAAAGCAGACACCTTACTTCTACCTCACTTCTTTTACTCTCAAGGCCAAGCCAAAATATTTGAGTGCCTGAAGAACACAACAACACCTTCTTCCTATGCCATGCACAGAACATGAGTGATTTGGGAGTTAAATCATCCTCAGCTCTGGCCATGAGGAAACTTTTCGCCACCTCACCCAAATGAAACTGGCCCACATGGAAAGGCAGGCTTGAATACAGCATGGGGAACACCTTTCTCCTCCACCACCTTATGGCTAACCCCCCTCACACAGACATCTGTTACCCTACTTGAGGCAACCACTTGACTTTTTTCTAATGGTAGGGCCACCTTTCACTCTGTGAAAGAATCAGGTAAGCCAGAACAGGCACAACAGTGGACATGGAGAGGGAGGCAACCGGTGAGGGAGGCCGGTGAGGGCAGGACAACAATTTGCACCAGTGTTTAGAGGAAGAAGCACAGGGAGAGGGAATTCTCACACTCCCTTCACAGCATGACTACCTTCTGTTTGCTCATTCACCAGGAGGGGACCTTTGCTTTCATTTCAGTTTTCTGCTCATGCATCACCGCAAGCATAAGAATCAACCTAAAACCTAACAAAATATTCAAATATTTTTACACAGGATTGCTGTCAGAGCAACAATAAAATGCCATCCGGCTTCACTGTAAGGGAAAATATTGCAAAAACTTCTGACTAGGGGTTCTCCACTCATGTCAGGGAGTTCAGTTACCTCTGAGGTGAGCAGAGCAATGACAAGTAGCCCCCTAACCCACAAGAGGTCGTTGTAAGCAGAATAGCCTACACTTATCAGACTTGTGACTCAGAAAATATCGTGGTGTAAAGGTTAAAATACTTTCTAAAGCCCTAATTATTTTCACGTAGCAGCAGTTTTCCCACATTCTGTGGGCCAATGAGTAGCATATTATTATGGCAAATAAATCAAATTGCTCCACATTCTATAACCACTAAGACTTGGCTACTGGTCCCATCACTTCCTGGGAAATAGAAGAGGAAGATATGGAGGCAGTGACAGATTTTATTTTCTTGGGCTCCATGATCACTGCAGATGGAGACAGCAGCCATGAAATTAAAAGACGCCTGCTTCTTGGGAGGAAAGGGATGACAAACCTTGACAGCATCTTAAAAAGCAGAGACATCACCTTGCCAACAAAAGTCTGAATAGTCAAAGCTATGGTTTTTCCTGTCGTGATGTATGGAAGTGAGAGCTGGACCATAAAGAAAGCAGACCGCCGAAGAATTGATGCCTTTGCATTGTGGTGCTGGAGGAGGCTCTTGAGAGTCCTCTGGACTGCAAGGAGAACAAACATCAATTCTAAAGGAAACCAATCCTCACTGGAAGGACAGATCCTGAAGCTGAGGCTCCAGTACTTTGGCCATCTCATGAGAAGACTCCTTGGAAAAGACCTTGATGTTAGGAAAGTGTGACGGCAAGAGGAGAAAGGGGACGACAGAGGATGAGATGGCTGGACAGTGTCTGTGAAGCAACCAACATGAAATTGGCACAACTACAGGAGGCAGTGGTAGATAGGAGGGCCTGGCGTGCTCTGGTCCATGGGGTCACGAAGAGTCGGACATGACTAAATGAACGAAATGAAGACTTGTCACTTCAAAGACAAATGAGCTTCCTTTGGTGTAATGAGCACCTACCCACAAAAACTCCATCTCAAATAAAATGTATTAGCGTTTCATGTGCCACAAAATTCTGTTACAGACCAGCATGGCTACTTCCAATTTGGAAATCATTTTATAACAATGCAGTTGGTTTTGAGGAGAGTATTTGCTCTGGACAGAAAGGCTCCTTTGAGACACCTGCTAAATATACGTACAAAGAAATGAGTCGTGGGGGATCCTTGGTCTGTTTCTTAAAGGGGAGTTTGTTTTTTTTAAAGGATACAAATACAGGTCTGTTTTGTCTCTAATAAACTCTCTCATACTTACAGAGGGCGCATCTACACTTCTTGGCTTCTTGTATCTGTAAGTCTGTTTTCAGTCAAACTGAAACTTCACCTAGAAAATTTTCGCTCAGGAAGCGGTACTTCCAGCCCTTCAGGTGTTGATGTCTACTCCAAACATACCTCAACAACAGCCAGTTTGGCTGGGACTAACGAGAACTGGAAGGACAGATCCTGAAGCTGAGGCTCCAGTACTTTGGCCATCTCATGAGAAGACTCCTTGGAAAAGACCTTGATGTTAGGAAAGTGTGACGGCAAGAGGAGAAGGGGACGACAGAGGAGGAGATGGCTGGACAGTGTCTGCAAAGCAACCAACAGACCAAACTCTGGGAGGCAGTGGAAGACAGGAGGGCCTAGCGTGCTCTGGTCCATGGGGTCACGAAGAGTCGGACATAACTTAACGACTAAACAAGAACAAGAACTGGCATTCAGTAACAGCTGGGGGGGGCATAAGTTCTCTCCTCTTAGTTAATTACCGTAGTTACATATTGTTATGTTGTATGTAATGATTCCAACCCTTTCCAGAGTTTTCTAGGCATACAGCACTCAGACACAGTAAACCATGTGTGTGGGGTGCTCTGAAACTTTGCAGCTTGACCAAGGCTATATAGGCTGGATCTCTTCATCTTGGACACAACAGTGGGGAATTAAACTCTCGAGCTTCAGATTCTGCAACCAGATACCTAACTCACTGAGCCATCCACCCTTATTTGAGCCCATACTGTCCATACATCCACATTTCCTTGTCACCCAGATTGCCTGTTCAGGAACTGGTAAATTGCTATGAGGCTGGGGAGACAACAGATGTGTGATAAACTCTTCTTTCACTTCTTGTTGTCCACACCCCAGCCTTGCCTCCAAAACACCACACACAGTCAGGGTTCCAACAAAATCTTTATTCAGTGGGTTGGAAACATGGTAACTGGAATAAGACAACCTCCCTATGAGAAAGCTCCAAATACAGCAGTGAGGGTCAATAGTTACTCTGTCGCTCTTGCTGTCGATACCCTCCACGCCGCAAGTAGCCTCCTTCGTTCTTACGATAGCCATCCTTCTGGTCTGTAAAGTGAGATATAGGGGATGAGAAGGAAACCAGCTAGGAGCCAAAAGGGTGCCAGCAAAACCTGTCAGAAATGGGTTTGGTGGGTAGCTTGGAGGAAAATGGGACCAGCACAAGGATGCCAAGGTAAATGTGGGTTGAGTGGCTACTATGGACCTTCCTCGCCCCCGCCACCAAACAGGACATAATTCTTCAGCGCAGTCTGCCTATTTTTTGCTTGGCAGAAATATAAAAGGGGAGAAAGGATTATGAATCCTGAATACAAGACTAAACGTTGGAGCTAGAAATCTGAACCTTGCAATTGAGCCAGGGAAGGCACTTTTCATTAATGTAAAGTGCTCAAAAAACACGTCCAGATTTTTGTTGAGGCATCATGAGGGCTAGAACTTTCCTCATCCATTTCAATCAGAAGTGCAAGTCTATGTGAATACCGTATAAGCAAGTACCCACACTTGTCTCTCCACAATGTATCTATGCTCTAAGCGGCTAAAAACATAGGGAAAAAAACATAAAAGGAAGCAGGAAAAAAACAACCCTGTGCTAAAAGACAGTTATTTAGAATGCCAGCTTACCCCGGAAGTAACCCCCGTAGGTGCCTTGTTTCTGGTCAAAGACCCTCTCGTTGTTTTCCACCAGGCTGCCCAGCTTCTCGGCCAGCTGAAGCGCCAGGTTCTGCTGGGCTGTGGGCTCCGTCCGATGCATCACGACCGTCTGGGTTGGCTGGTCTAAGGAGGCCTGGGGAGGTGAGATTGGAAATGCTCAGACACACGCAAGCAAGGGAGACTCCGCTATGCCTGCTCAAAATCTCTTAAGCAGAAAAAAAGATGTCTTGCGCTCCTACCAAATATCCTCTCAATTTTCTCAAACCTGAGAGCGCTTCAGCATTTCCATACTTCTGTCTTGCTGAGACTGCTGAGGAAGCAAGACCACAGACAACCCCCAGGCCCCTATTCTCTGAGATGGTTTCTCCAAGAGCAATCTATTATGTTTTTGTCTCTTTTTTCCCCTCCCTCTCTGTCACTTCCACTAAGAGATGGGAAAAGTAATTTTTTGAACTACAATTTCAATGGGCATTCTAAGAGATGTAGCCCAAAAACGGCAAAGTTCCCTATTTTTACCTTCACTAGCCATCGCCATCTGAACAAATACATTAAAAAGTCTCACCATGAGTTCTTCATTGATGATCATCTTGCTAATGATACTGTGCACTGTGGGCAGGTCCAGCTCAAACATATCAGACAATATCTCCATGCTGCACAAACAGACATTTTTTTTTCAGGAAAAGAAAGGAGAAAAAGCAAAGTTGGTAAGATTTAGCTACGATGAGCTGGTACATCTGTAGCCTGCCCTGTAGAAAAAGTCTGTGCTATTAGGTACCAAATTAAAGGCACGCTAACGCAAGGGATAGACTGTTAGGGAGAATATACTGATGCACACTGCCTACGCACCCCCAAGGCATTTTCAGTCACATCGATAAAACCAAACAGACCCCACACTTTGGACAAGAGGCTGCCAATGCTCCCGTTCTTGAGCACTAGAGTCAGAGACCCGATTGTTTGCTCCTGTCCCCCATCAACCATACCTGATGGAGTCATAGACACTGCTGTAAGTGAAAAGATAGGTCCGGAGAGACTCCTCCTGGATCTTCCTGTGGTGGGAAAACCATGGAAAAAAACAGCCATTAGTATGATGGCAAAAAAGCTATGGGGTTAGCTCCTTAGATGACCTGAATTAGGCTGCTGGTCCCCAAACAACCCCAAGCTCCTTGTCACCCTGGTCTCCCCATGCACCTCTGACATGTACACTCCACCTGTGTTCCATCCTCTTATTTTAAAGAGACCCCAAGTGGGAATCTTACGTCAGTGGCTTGCATACAGTGGGTTTGTCTTCTCAAAAGACAAGCATCTCCCATTAAAGACGATTTGTGATCAAGAGCCAAGGATCACCAAAGTGGGAAATCCTCAGCAAGAGGGACCAGGAGACACTTCCTATTTTAACAGGCTCTTCCCATGTTTCCTTCTTGCTACTTTTCTGAGGACAATTATCTTTTATAACCCAGTTCTTAGTTCCCTGTTGAAGGAGTAGGTCTAGAAGGATTCAAACGTCTCCATCACAATTCTAGCAACTGACCGGACAAGCATGCCGCGGACTTTGTCAGCCTCCGGGAACAGATCCCAGACTTTCCCGTTCATTTTTTCATTGACAATGAAACGGTGACAGGTTTTCCAGTCACCCATCTTCATAGCTTTGGATGCTGCTACCACGTGCTCCCTCATTGATTCCGGAGGGCCTGAAGCAAGAGGAAAAGCGAAACGGGGACTATCAGACAGGAAAGTGTTTTTGATGAAAAGGCTTTCAATTAGCCAGGCTAACTGAAGGTCCTTCAAGGTCCTTGCACATGTATAGAAACTGCATAATGGTATTCTGAAAATGTCACACTCCATGAACTTAAAATTAGAAGTAACTTTTGCCAAAGGGCTTCTCCTTTCCAGCAAACAACAACAATAACAATAACAACAATTTCTTCTTCTTCTTCTTCTTCTTCTTCTTCTTGGATGAAACACACTTTCAGTGGTCCCCATAGTCATTGGGGCTTTGGGAACAATATCAAGAAATTTCACACAGCATTAAGAACAGCATACATACTACGCTGATATTTAACAGAAACTTAAGATTTTTTGTTAAAACTTGTATCTGTATGATACCAGTCAATGTTTTTACAATTTTGATTGACTGTGTCTGGCATTTCTGATAATATTTATAGTAATTATTATTATTAAAAAGAGAACAAAAGTCCCTCCTCTCACAAATCTTTCAAATACAGGAGGCAATGTTTCTACGAAGTCTGCCACCTGAAGTACTTGCTAAAAACAGCATTTAAAAACCTCCTCAATAAGATGAATGGCAACATTTAAAAAGGTGTTTCAAACTAGCGAGTAGCTGGGGACTATGGGAGTTGTAGTTTAAGACTTTTGGAAGACCCCAGTGGTAGGAGTTTTGCATAGGGATAATGGTCAGAACTGCACAGCAGTGACCAAAACCAAGATATTCCAGGACTGCTCACCAAGTAGTGGCTGGCGCTCGCCTACACGAAGCTGATGGTGGAACTGCTTGCTGATCATGCGCCGACGGGCATCAAATTCATGGGCAGCCATGTAGGGGATTTCCAACAACATGGCGGACACCAGGTAGACACACTCCAGAAGCTCCAGGTTGATGTGCATGTGGAAGGGGACCTGGCGGCGCTTCTCGATCTTTTCCTGCTCCTGGTTGCGCTCCTGCATGCTGCGCATGAGCAGGCCCTGCCCTAGCAGCTCCTTGGCTCGCCCACTTGACTGGATGTCCAGGAGGGCATTGTGGGCGTCCTTAATCATGCCCTGGCGGAAAGCACAGATTCCTAGCTGCACCATCGTCCGGTTATATAGAATCTAAAAAAGCCAAGAGGTTTAAGTTGGTTGTGATGCACAAGCACTGCACCTCCCTCATCCCCCCCACTCTGCAACAATCTGCCTTCTGCCTCAGAAGACTCCAAGCAAGACCAAGAAAATCACTTCAACTACCTATTTCCTGCCATAGTTTCTTTCTCATACAGAATGGCCAGAAACAAAATTCCCACGAAAGGCAATGTTATCTGCTCCACAGCCAGCCTATGATCTTTTGCTGCCTGAGGCCAAGGGCAAGAGGGTAGCCTTGCCAGGCCACATTCAGAAATGCACTGGGCAGGCAGCTGAATGTCACTCGATGGCGATGAGGAGACTGCATCCTCCCACTGCCCTCATGGACAACCAAGTGAGTTTTGGGAGGACAGGAAAGACTGAGTGGCAAACACCGCTCTGTCCTAACCCTAACAGAGAAGAAAAGGCAGGGGCTTGGGAAGAATGCTTAAGGGGCTCCCACTTCTGCTCTCCAGTGTCTCTGCCTCAGACAGCCTCAGCCTCCCTCACAGTCAGGCCAGCGCCAGCAGCGCCCTTTCCTATCTGTACTAAGCCACTCACATTTTCAACTCTGCTCTCTATTCATTACTTCCCAAAACATCCCATATTGTCCCCACCCACACTGGCTTTCTGTACTTGTGCTTGGTTTCTCCGAGCAATTGTGAACAGCACAGTGTATGTAATTTCACCCTGCCTCTTGAAAGGGAAGCAGGAGGCAGCCTGAGAGCAGAAAAGGAAGCCTCATCAACCACAGAGGATGGCTGTGGTGGGGCCCACCAGAGAGGCACATGCTCCACAGGTAGCAGGGCTGGGGCTGTCTTCCATTTCAAACCACCTAATTCATACAGGCTTCTGTGCATCCACTCTGAACCACTAACTCAACGCTCCTGGAGGACTGCTTCTTTTTCCAAGCTGCACCTAAGGTGCCAAATTCCCGTCCAGTCCAGGTCTCGCTCTCTAACCTGCACTGGAGGATCTGCGTGCTGGATGTTGTCCTGCAGGTGACTCATCAGCATCAGATCTCGAGCCTGGTACCAGCGGTCATGCAAGGCATGGTGGTAGATGTGGCAGAGGATGGCGCAGGTTCGGATTCTGTCTGTCCGGTCCCTGGCATAGATGAACTTGCAGAGACGCTCCATCAGCACCGCTGAGTCCTCAGCTTCATTCTCTGCTTGGTCTTGCTCAGACTGTGGGCAAACAGATGACGCAATGTAAGGAGAGAAGGGATGCTCCCTCCTAGGCGAGTGTATTTCCACAATGCCTCTTTCCCCAATCAGGCACCCTCCAGAGGATTATTAGGACTGGCATCATCCCAGTCCACAGAGAATTCAATGACAGATCTTATAATCCAGCACACCTGAAAGGCATCTGGATGAGGAAGGATGGTTTCTGTATATCAACCACTCCTCCACTGTTGCTGCTTTCTTCAATTAGGTCAATACTAAAGGCATCTCTTACAATGCAAACCAAAGCCAGTTATAAATCTGCTCAGTTATTGTTATCCTGACCAAAGAATGCTGGAAACTACAGGTCAACAACAAGAAATGACTCTTCTCTATGAAGGATTCTTTTCCATCAGTATCCAGTATCTTCTGGAGGAGGCTGTAATTGCTCAACCAAAGGCCACTAGGCTAAAAATACAGCCAAGCCCAAATATTACTGGTGTTCATCCCCTGGCATCTGTACAACATCCATTTCTTCCATGACTAACCCCTCCGTGCTCTCCCAGCTTGTCAAAATATTATCAAGGCAGACAAGACACTGTCCCAACGTCATCCAGGGACCTGCATTGTAGCAATAGAGCAAGTGCTTTCTCTGCAGCTCCCGGTTCAATCCCTAGTGTCTTGTGTTGGAAGGGTCAGTTGCCAGGCCATCCAGTTCCTGATGGCGTGGGACCGGAGGGCGGGATGGTCGTTCACTGACGCAGAGCTTGGCCTACCTTGCTGTCTCCTGCTGGCCCCTGCTGGCGCTGGTGAGCCTTGTAGTCAAACTTATAGTAGGTGTGGAGGATGCAGCGCAAGTAGATACGGCAGATCTCCTCTGTGGTCCCCTTGTCCTGCAGGTAGGTCTGTACTCGGTTGATGATTTTGCATACTCGGCCCTCATCCTTCAAGTGGTCCACATACTCTGATGGGAAAAAAACAAGCACAAAGTGTTTGTCAAGGCAAAAAATTAAAACACACTGGGTACTCTACACTAACTCTTTGCCTCCATTCACTGTAGTCCTAACCCAAATTCCTCTTCTGCTTTTGCCTCCAAGATTCCTTTTCTCATGATACACACACACACACACACACATTTACCTTGGGAATGGGGATCTGTGTTCTGCATGATCTTGGTGAACTCCTCATCCATCCGTTCCACGAGGGTCAGGATGCAACCACGTATGCGGTAGGGCTGGCCGCGATAAGACACAAAGAGACAAATGGGGGTGAAAAACCACTGGGCACAGAAATTTCCCCCAGCCTGACCCCCCACCTGTTGCAGAGACTACAACTCCCATCAGGACAATCTTTAATGGCATTGACTGGGGATGATGGGTCAAATGCATCTGGGGAATGACAAAATGGGAAAGGAAAGCAGAAAAAACAGAGTAACATTCCTCTCCAGCACTCCAACTTAATAAAGCATTTAACCTCCCACCTGTAGATTTTGAAGTGAACTGCAAGGACAGAAAAGCGACTGCAGTGGCTTACCCGAAGACCACAAGGATCCAGAACACTCACCTGTTCGCTGTTGGACAGGTTCTCAGAGTCCTCCGCAATGTTCTCACCAATGAAAATGTTGGGCTGAGCAAAGAGGATGTCCAGAAGCTCATCAATGCATTCCAGGCATTTCTGCCACATCTCTGGCTGTACAGGGGATGAAGCAAACAGGAAACCAGTGAGATTCAGGGAAGGAAGCTGCTGATCTCCCATGGTCACACCATGAGTTTCCGCAGGGCCAGGGAATATCTGGCCGACAAAAAAAGGTACACACACACACATACACCTTTCTGTGTGTGACAGTTCCTTACCTTCATGTATGTACAGGGGCAGGGAATATCTGGACGACCAAAAAACGGTACACAGACAGACAGACAGACAGACAGAACTGTGTGACAGTTCCTTACCTTCATGTATGTAGCCAGATTGGGGTTATAATCATACAACGAAGCAACAATGTTGAACTTGATTTTGACATCCATGGCAACACCCAAATTGTTCTCTGCCGCAATTCCAACCAGAAGCTGCAGAAGATCAATCTGTGCTGCCCTGGTGTGGAAGGAATGGAGAAGATCAGCGGGAAGGTGTTAGGAGAGACAGGAGTGAGGACCAAAATTCTTTTGCACCCCCCTGCCGCCATTTTCCTAGAAATTATCCAGCAGCAGAACAATGTGAAACACGAAACAACATGGCATGGTCTGAAAACACACGATGCAGCCACCTTTAACCCAGTGGAAAGTCACACACTCTACAGACAGAAGTGCCAATTCAGTTCTTTGTTTCATCAGTTACAAGGCTATAGTAGCAGATGATGAGAATGACCTATCCACAGGAAGTCTAACTTCATCTAATAGTCTTTCCCATTTCATATTGCTGAAATAAGATGAAGGAAGCACCCATTTTTAATGCCTTAAATTCAGAGTACAATAAAAATACAAAACAGTTCAATCAAACCCGTTCTTCTACAGACATGCTAAGCCTTCCTAACACTTTGGGTCAATGGTTTATTTCCTTTTGTGCTTGGTGTCAGAATGCCAGCAGCGCTCACATTGCCATAATGGAAGGCAGAACGCATCTTGAGACCAGGAAAGAGCAAACTAAGTTCCGTGCCAACTATGGCTTGTTGCAACAAGCCAGCTTCCTAGTTCATTGCTTCAAAGTCCTATTTCAGACAATGGTCAATTCAGATTAGCTAGGACGGTTTGTTGGACTCCTTCAGTTTGGATGACAGGACAAGGTACAGTCATTCTAAAATAGAAGAAAAGACTTTCTATTCCTTCCTTGTGTTTCTGCTGAGAAAGAGAGGTAAGAGAATGAACCTGATGGTCACCAAGGCTTGTTCCTTTTACATTGTAGAACTAGTGGAGAACCAGTGTTGTGTAGCAGTTAAGAGTGAAAGACTAGGACGCCGGATATTCCATTTCTAGGCCCCACAGAGTCATAAACCTCCTTGGGTGACTTTGGGTTGGCCATCGTCAATCAGCCCAACCAACCCCACAACTTGGTCTGAGACTAACATGGGGTTGAGGAGATCCACATACTCAACTTCAAGCTCTTTAGAGGAAAAGCAGGATAGAAATGTAAGTAATAAACAAAAGCCTGAATTCATCAAGAGGCAAACAAGAGAGATTTAGTCACCTTGCCAGCAAACTGGAGAGTATTACAGAGACTCTTTAGATTTGCCTTTGCTTGGCAGTAACGCAGCCACACAGAGTTCAAAGACAACCTGCAGTCGGTCAAGGGCTCCCAAGTAACCTCCCCTCCAACCAGCCCATTCTCTCAAGTCTCACCGATCCGTGCCCTTCTTTCCACGGGCCTGCAAGATCTCATTCAGCTTCTTCACGACCACAGCGTGGTTGATCTCTGTGCCTTTAGTGAACATCTTGGGTTTTTCCTGCAAGCACAGAAGGGCTTAACTAGGCTCCAGCCACATTTGGGGAAAGGGGACAAGAAAAAAAGATTGTGGCATCATTCAATTCATTCCACACCCCTGCCAGGGTACTACCTGGCTGCTGGGAACAAGGACTGTGCCTCACCTTGACCAGCGGGACACCACCCTTGACCTTCTCCCACTCGCCGCCCTCGTTGTCTTCTTCATCATCTTCGTATCTCTTGGACTTGCGGTCCTGCTTCTTCTTTGCCTTCTCTTCTCGTTTCTTCTCCATGACCCTTTTTTCTTCTTCAGTGCCAGGTCTTGTTGGGGGAGTATAAAACAAGTACATCATTTTCCCAGCCTGGGATTCCTCAGCTAGCTCAACCACCAAAACCTACCTGCTCAAGCCCTGTACCAAGAGACTCTGGCTTTAAGAAAATGAATTATCGGAACCAAGTCCATGCAATCACCAAATCCAAAATGCACACTATAGAGACTTCCCCAAGCAAACCAATCAGCCTCCCCCCTTAAGATCTATCTACTTCTTCAAATATCATTGTTTCCAAACATTGAATAAATAGGCCAAGCACCAAAGAATGCCCCAAGAGGTACACCTAGACAAGAAATGGCAGTCGTCACATTTGAAATTCCATTCTCCACTACAGCCAAAGCCCCAGAAAGTCCTTTCAATGTTGATGGCTATCTCTAGGCCAAAAAAGATCACTAGCACAGCACAGTATCTGTTGCAATCTGGCATTACAATTTTAGAGTGACTACAGCAAAAATAGTGGTAATTCAACTCCAGAAACAGAGTTTGGAAATGCTACTCTTTTGGATGGCATCACTAGATTTTAGATTATAGTGAATGCTACTATACCGTATATCTGTTTATAAGATGACCCAATGTACAACCTCCCTTTTCTAACGCCAAATTAGAAAATTTGATCCCTGCTTTTGCATTCATTTTGCTAAGCCATGGATCTTAGCAAAAGGACGGGAAAAGCGGGGATCAAAGGGTTTCCTTTGACCACCGTTTTCCCTGCCTTTTGTGAAGCCACGGGACTTAGCAAAAAGGAAGGAAAGGCTCCCGTCGGGTAAAGCAGCTGTGAAAAGGCTGCACAATCGCAGCCCTTTGATCCTGAAGCCCTTTCATGGCTGCTTTACCCACTTGCAAAGCCCCACGGGGCTTAGGAAAGCAGCCACGTTTCTGTCAAAGCCCTTTCACGGCTGCTTTACCCACTTGCAAAGCCCCGCGGGGCTTAGGAAAGCAGCCACGTTTCTGTGCTGTGTTGTTTTTGTTTTTTGGTGATTTTTTTGCAGCCCCAGTGCCTTCTGATGGGGCTTGCTCCGCTGTTTATTTTTGGTTTTGCTTTGTTTTTTAAGCCCCAGTACCTTCAGGGTTTGCTCCATTATTTATTTTTGGTTGGGTTTTTTTTTATTTTGCCGCCCCAGCGCATTCCTATGGGGCTTGCAATGTATTTTGCCGCCCCAGCGCGTTCCTATGGGGCTTGCAATGTTTTTTTTTGGGGGGGGGTTCCCTTCTGGAATGGATTAATTGCATTCCAATGCATTTCAATGGGAAATTGCGCTTCAACTTACAACCATTTTGAGTTACGACCATCTTCTGGAACGGATTATGGTCATAAGTCGAGGCACCACTGTATTTTTGATACTCGCAAATATTATACATGAATAAATGAATTAGTGAATACTGATTCCGCAGATATGGGGATCCGACTGTACGAAGCAAAATATGAAATGTGCTAAATTCTGAGCTCCCCCCTATACTGTTCAAGAGAGGCTGTCTCCTTACTTCTTAAGAAATTTCGAGGCCAAGGACGTGTATTTGCCCTCATCTTCATCTGACTCCGAATCTGATTCTGAACCTGATGAGCCCCAGTCTTCGTCATCATCAGAGTCCTCCTCTTCCTCATCTTCATCCTGCTAAAGAAGAGTTTTTAAAAACCCTCTGTACATAGCAAACCACATGACAAGTTCATGCACATCCACAGGGAGAGTAGCAAACAAGTGAAGGGCTACGGAGCGGTGAAAATATGTGGTTACCACTTTTACATCTGGCATTGCTTTCAAGGCTTCTGGGAAGAATTTTCCAATCTATTCCACCCATCACCAATGCTTGGTTTTCTGCCCCTTCAACTCAGCTATGAATCTTTAAGCTGCCGGTCACCAAAATTCTTCCAGCCACCAGTGAGGGAGAGGCATTGGGAGCGACAGCTGAGACAGTGAGGAGAGGGGTGCCACGTCACACCTTCCTGCAGCTCTCACCTCCACCTTTTTGAGGAACTTGCCACGTCCCTCAATTGCCCCTTCCTTTTTCTTCAGGAAAGCGGCAGCACTCATTCCTTCATCATCATCATCATCTGAAGAGGAGGATCCTGAAAACAGAAAGCCTTTCTGGAGATCTTATACACACACACACACACAATCCCCAAAGGCACCCCCAGAAAACAAACCTACCACTGCTCCTATACTGTCACTCACCCTCTGAATCATCACTTTTCTTGTCCTCATCTTCATCAGCTGACTGCTCAGGGTTCTGAGAGGAAAAAAAACATACTGTGGTGTGAAACATGCATAGTGATGCTTCTTGCCATCAAGCACAGCAACGAACTTTTCATGGGGCAGCCCTTGGAGACTGTAAGAAAATGGAACTGGTAAAGAAGGCTTCCTTGTGTGTATTGTTGATCACATTACACCCATCGTCACATTAGCTGTCAATTTTTTTCTCAAAGTGCTGACTATTAACTATCAAACTCCAAACATCCAGTCTTATATGAAACAGTTCTAAGTTTAAGCTGTTCTGGAGTTCCTTCTTCATATGCAACAACCAAAAGTATACATAACAGGGTCCTCCCTCACCAACCTGTACAACTCAAGCACAAGGTCAGACTATTCCATTATTTTGATACGCTTTGGAAAAGCCATAATCAGTTCTTGGTCACCTGCTGCTTTCAAGCCATTTAAAGTGCATCAGTTCTGCACCTGCTTTTAAGATTGTGTCCTGCCTTCATGTAAATGTTGCTGTCTTTGCCCTCCATCCCGTGGCAGTCTAATACCTGGCGATAGCCTGTGATCTGGGTCTCATAATCCCGGTTGTACTTTCGGATCTTCTGACGGAGGGTGCTCAGGGCTTTGGCATTGTTCTTGTTCATCTTCTTTTTGCCTTCTTTGTCCTCCCACAGCTAAGACAAAAAGGTGAAAAGGCAGGTAGAATTAAATATGGTGTGTGGCTATTCACTCCATAAACCACAACAACCTGTCTGGAAACTGTGCAAGGAGAACCTATGCAGCAAAGCCATTTGGTTCTCTGGCAAAATCCTTGCATCCAGTCAGTCCCTTTCTGACTGATTTCCATGTCTTTCACTACAGAGATGCTGCAGAAGAGGCCAGCAACAGGCAGCAGCCAAAGCAGTGGATTAAAATCGCTGGAACCTGTAGCACAGCTTTTTGGCACTAAGGCAGAGGAAAGAACTGAGGGATAAGCTAAAGAGTCTATATTATAGAGATAGAGGCCAGCAGGCTTTTTGAGTCACTGGCACTGGGCCACTTGCACAAGGACTGCTGTTGTGCGTGCAGTTATTTCCTCAAACCCCCCCCCTTGCTTGACAACAGCAACACTTGTACTGTACTAGTAGTACAATCTGGCATTAATATGCCAGCAGGACATTCTGCTAACTGAACGCTCAACAGGACACTGACAATATGATCCACGAATGGAAGAAATATGAATCAAAGACACAGAGGCCAAAATGCAGCCACTCCTAATTACGAAGTGTTTTTTGTAATTGCTCAAAAAGATTCCCTGTGCTCTTGGCAGAAGAGGCAATTTTGCTATATTTCACCTACTCCCAGCCCTTCCACCCATCCATGTTTGTGCATGTATACACAGCAAATACACATACATTGGGGACCAGAGGATGTGGGAGGGGCTTCTGCAATGTTCAAAAAAGTCTTTCTTAATGAAAAATATTCTTGGGATAGGTAGGGCACAAGAATCAACACATTAATATGCTGTGTATATTTCTATGTGCATGGGATGCTTTTGGACCTATGGAGATTGCCCACCCCTCTTTTCCTGCCTCGGCAAGAGTGGAAATTGACCCATTCCTGGACAGCTCCTTCTCCACGGAGAACAAGAATTAGGACAAAACTTAGTCCCAATTAAGCAGCCATGAATTCAGAGATGGGGGGCAGAGAGACCATTTCTTTCACTGCCACTAGTTACCTGATTTTTGGCCAGATGGCACCACCAATGAGCCAAAGCTAGGAACAGTGGATTTACTCAAATGACTTTGTGGGAGCCAAATGTTATTGGACTATTACTTCTAGTTTTTGTGGGGTTTGTGTGTGTATGTGCACTTGTCTTGAATATTAGTATACTGAGTATAATTTACAGTTATTTTACTACATACAGTTTAAATCTGGTTTGTATGCCTGCTTGATGCAGGGAAATAAAAATGTCTTAAATGGACGACAAATAATAAATCATTTTGAGAGGAATGGAATAAACAGCACTCTCCATATTGATGGATTTTGCACCATGTTTATTCTCTCTTCCCTTCCAGAACACAAGGTCTCCTCCACCAGGCGGTGGGGGAAGAGGCTACAGAACTATTTGTCACCATTTGACCTTACTGACAATGTAGCTGATTTCAGCTGCAACCATGACAAGCTTGATGATGGTAATGTCCCCTTAGAATGGGAGGGGGAGAAACCGGCCCCCATACCCGATAGTTCCTCACTCTGATCTACAGCTTTTTTAAAATAGTAATCCCTTTAAAGCTTTGAAGGAGCTTTTGAAGCTGCAAACCTACCAAATGCAGGAAATATTTAACAGATCTAAAGCTTAAGTCAACATATGAGGGATTGCACATTTGTATTTGGTAACTAGGTTAGAAATAATAAATGTTACTCTTCAAAATAATATTGTAAATCTAGGTTTGGTAAGGAAATACTGCATATATTTCAGCTTTTAGAATCATCAGCCCTCTGTTTCCCCATCAATACCTCATTGAGATAATCCTCAAGATCTGCTAGGATACGGATGTAGAAGCGGGGCACCCCTTCCTTGTCGACAATGCTTTTGGCTTTCCCATAAGCCTTGCCCAGCAATTCAAATTCCTCCAGGCATTTGGTGACATCCCGGATCTTCATGGCATTCCGGATTGTTTTGATTAAGTTGGTAAGTTCTTCAAACCTGGACAGGGGGAAAAGGGTAATATATTGTACATATATCTGGATCACTCAACAGTAAAGACAGGCCCTCCAGGATACTATGCCATGAAAGCCAATGAAATGCAGCCAGTGAAATGGTGGATAACAACAACAACAACAACAACAATAATAATTTATTGTCATTGTAAGTATATACACAGTATACCCATACAACAAAATTCACAGACACCCAGAGACCAGACACAGGATAGGATGATTTGCAGGCACTTCATGAGAAAGAGTCCTGGATCAACCCTCTGGAAACCAGGGATGTCATCTTCCTCTGTGAATAAAGCCCCTGAATCATTACCTTTTGTCCTTTGCACTGCGTACAACTCTCTTTGTATCTTCCTCATCTTCACTCAGCAATAGAGGCCTATGGGAAAGGGAGAGAAAGAGACAATGGATCCCTGCATCAATGATTCTAGCAATGATAGGCAAAACATGGTTTGGGTTCTGGTGCGAAATTACCAGTCACATCATTCTCAATTGCCGGCTATGCTGTCTGGAAGTTATGGGAGTTATAGTACATAGCATATGGAGAGCATCTACTTTGCCTTCAACTGGATTAGAAGGAAAGGAAAGAAAAACCCTCTGAGACATAGTTTATGTCCTGACCAATGTTATGAGAGAATTATCCAGAGAATGGTTTTCTGCATGGACCTGTGTGTGTACACACACACATATACCCATGTAAACACTATAACACCTTTTATCTAGTTTATTTCTAATTTTCCCCACTGGCCATACTTACTGTTTCCCATAGTTGCCTCCAACAGGTTTGGCCACCAACTCATCTCCAGAGAGTGATGACTCTGACTCACTGTCTGAGCCAGTAGTAAAAAACCGCGACATGATGGTGGGGGCTCTCGATCTTCAGTTGCCCACCACTCTGGATCCTAGGTAGTGAGAATAACAATTCAAATACCCAGCAGGTTTAACAACTATTTTAAATCTATATAAATCTACATCTGTTCATTTGAACACTCATGTTTGCATATCAGCAAATTTTTGCTTTGATATCAACATTGCTACAGTCCTTTTATCCTCATGCCACAATGAAACTAAACCTATGTAAATGTTGTTGTGTGCTATCAAGTCAAAACCTACTTATAGCAACCCCAAGAGAGCTTTCAAGGTCCTCTTAGGGCATTTAAGGAGTGGTTTTACCCATTCTACTACCCCAGGGAGTTTCCATGGCTGACCACGGCTTTGAACCCAGGCCTCTGAAGTTCTAGTCCATTGATCTATCCACTGCACCACACTGAGTACACATAACTGAGTCAAATTTACTTGCTTCCTGCATTCTCTTCATCTACCTTCTTTCCTTGCAATGCAAGGTTAGGGGATTTGTAGGCTTTAATGGGAGTCTAGCAACATCTGGAGAGCCACCAGTTCCCCACTCCTGAAATGCTTCTTGCGTGACAGACTGTGGAGTAAATGTGTCTACCTTTTTATAGTTATTCTGTCAAATAATAAAACAGACCAAAATTAATTTATTTACGTTTTCATCAAATCCTTCTTTCAAGGAGCTCAGACCTGGAGACTGCCGTAGAAGACTGGTCAAAAGAGACTAATTTACTTAGTTCCTTTCAATTAAACCTTTAAATCCTCACAATGAAATTATGCTGGGCTAAGATGATGTGATTGGTCCAGTGTCATCCAGCAGGCTTCAAGGCAGAGTGCAAAGATTAATTCAGGCCACTCCAATTTATAATAAAGAATCTAATTCAACAATTAAGACCTTGGTGACTTCCAGATGCAATGAACTACACTACAAGCTCCTGACACATAGCAGGAGTTCTAGCCAAAGATGTCAAGAAGGCACTAGGTGGGGAAGAGCTGCTCTATCTACTGCAGCGTATACAATTTAAACATAGCTGGTTTTCTACATCTCCTTTTCAAATCCTGAAACAGCCACATATTACCTCACTGTTTATGCCACCACATGCTCCTTCTCTCTTGTCCCCTGTGCTGAATTTTAAATTGTATGTTCCTGAAGCCAGTGACCTGTTACTCTACAAAGTACCACACATACGGATAATACTACATAAACGAGGAGATGATGCAATTTGGGCAGCACTGGGACAAACAGGGAAAGAACTAGTCAGCTTTAAGCATTCTTGATATCTGAATTACAGTATGACCTGCCACCTTACTCTCTCTTGACCAGAGGTTCTCCAGATGTGACTGACTACAACTCCCACCCCCCAGGCAGGAAGCAGTGTATGATGGCCACTGTAATCCAACACAGCTGTAGAACAAAACATGAAGTAAGGCTCCTAGACAGAGACACCCACAAATTTGTAACTTTGAATAAAACCTACGTTTTTTTAAAAAAAAAAGCCGATTATTTGGATCGATCAAATAAAGACACAACCGTAGAGACAACACTCTTCTGATTAGATCTCCCAGTGAAAGAAGACCAGAAACTTATTACCCCACCCCCTTTTAATTCCACCTATTCCTGTCAACTCCTTACATTCACTCCCTCCCAAAAGCCTATTAGCCTTAGACCTCCCCCGCCGACCCAGCAATCATCCCCTTTACACGCGCTCACCGGGACCGGGCCTGGAAATAAAAGAAGCGCAGCGTCGCCTCACGCACTCAAAGCGCACGCGCGAAGCCTTTCATCACCGCGCCTACCCTTGGAGGAAAAGAGTCACATGTACACCGTCGCCCTTCTGATGACTACTTCCGTTCCGTGATGCCGGGAGGATTTTTTTTAGCATAGAGTTCCTAAGGGACAGAGCGGCAACATTTTTTAAAGACAGTTCAACTTGGTTTTTACCGTGTCGTTTTCCCGTGCAAAAGTGTGTGCAGTTCTTTTCTCTGCTGACTTTTTCCCCCCAGAATTATTTCCTTTGAAAATATGTATTAATATGCATATTCACCACTGCAGCCGCCAATTTTAAATTTACACACGTTTTGGGTTACCCACTGAGTTATCAATATCCCTTGTCACACAAGCGACGCTAATTGAATTTATAACGAAATTGTTAAGTACTTGTGAAATAATTATGAATACCTACCATATCAGTCTCTTGCCCTAGTTGACATTACTGGGACCTCTACGACAACTGAAATTCTTTTTCAATGGAAATTCATTAAGACATCCCAATCTCCGGATGTTGCCAGAGGCATGTGTGCTTCTACCTTGTGCCCTAGATTTAGGGAACTGTTATTTAATGCACTGTCCAGCCCCTGTCAAAGAGACACAAGTTGGGAATCAAACTCCCAACTTCTCCTTGCTTTACTGGTATATCTCTGGGTAATTTGTAATCCATAGGCAAATATTTCTGACTAGCAGTTGTTCAGTATGAACAAGATTATTCTCTTAATTTCATACACCAGATATAATGAAGGGATGGGGAAGATAATCCCGTGACAGCCCCTGACAAACAAGACAACACTTCAAAGCCATTCCAGAAAAATACTTTTACTGGGTTTGGAAAAGAGGCTAAACGGGTATCTTCAGCGGAGACAACAGCCTGATTCAGCTGCAGCAGGATGCCTGACTTCTGGTTGCTCGCATCCCTTTGGGGAAGAGGAATCCTCAGGCCCTGCAAGAGAAAGAGAGAGAAAAAACAAACTAAGGGGGGAGGTCGTTTGCTGCCGTCAACTGGCTTCAACCCCAACGTATCCACCGACCAATGTTCTGGCAACTTGAGCCCAAAGTTCCGCCTGCCAACATCCACTGGTTTCCACCAGGAATATCCACCTGTTCGTCTTTTCCATCCGCAAGCAGATTCCACCAGCTTCTGTCCAAGAGAAAGAGAGAGAAAAAACAAACTAAGGGGGGAGGTCGTTTGCTGCCGTCAACTGGCTTCAACCCCAACGTATCCACCGACCAATGTTCTGGCAACTTGAGCCCAAAGTTCCGCCTGCCAACATCCACTGGTTTCCACCAGGAATATCCACCTGTTCGTCTTTTCCATCCGCAAGCAGATTCCACCAGCTTCTGTCTGCCAACGTCCACCGACTTCCCC